ATGTTGGAGGTAATGCAGTCCCTTGTGAAGTTGGACCACAGGATTAATACTGAATAAACACAGGGTTATACCAATTTAAACTTGCTTTGCCAAATCACAAACACTATTACATCTTTATTTCACAAGTAGATCATTCAGAAATTGTAATTGTGTGTAATTGTGAGGGCACGTGCTATATAATCTTGTTTATATTACAGACCAGTGAACACACCTCAGGGCTACTAAAAGACTCCTCCTTTTTGGTGGGGGAGCCTCCTCACCATCAGAGTAAAAGCCTGTGTCCACTTCGCTGTCCTCCTCTGAATCCACCATCTGAGAGAAAACCAGAGAGAAGAAGCATACAGGATGATGCCTCGGCTGCAATATCAAACATTATCATCAAATAATGGAGCCATCTTTAACCATTTCATACCTTGGTCTTCAGCCGCTTGTAACAACATCCTTCGTCCTCTTCTTCCTCGATGAAACCCTCAAATTCCTCTTCGCTGTCTGACTGGCTGAACAGATGAGCCAGCTCAGCAGTGATGAACTTGGATTTGAAACATGGGGCCTGTGGGCAGATAAGTATTTTCAGCATTATTTTCTTCTCAAGAAATTGTTCAACATATATCGTAAAAACATGGGCATAATAGAAACTTGAGGGAATCACAACAAAGGAATTATGATGGAAAGAAAATACATAAGTAAAGCTGAATGATAATAAATAATTTACCTTCATTTAAAAAAAAAAATTACATTGCAGATAAACCATGAAGGATAAACACAATGTTTTCTAACTTCACGTTGAATCATAGAAAATAAGATGTACAAGAGTAAGAAAAAATAAATACTAATACAAAATATATATAATTTAATATAAAAGGGGCAGTATATAATTAGACATATGGGTGCGTTTTTGATTGTTTATTTATTAAATTGACTCAGAATGCATTTTGAAAACAATTCTAAAAGATGGGAAAGACCTTGAGAACGTTGCTAACTTTTAGCATCATACTAAACTACATCACAACACAGAACTAGAAGTCTGAATTCAACTGATTAACATTTGGGTACAACTGACAACAATGCATGGCAGGGGGAAGACATTGTTTCCTTATGTATGTCTATCTACAGTTGTCTGTACCACAGACAAGGATCTACACAAAATTTCACACATTTCACACCAGAGGGAGCAAGAATCCATCAGTGGCAGAACCAATAAAAATACTGTGCTACTTGTAGGCATCACCAGGATGGAAAAGCACTGATGAGAGATGTTACAGGTTTTATGAACAGCTCTTTAGTTTTAAGCAGAATATTGGGGTTTATGTGTTTGCATGCAAAACTGAACTTCTTCTCGGCTCAAGAAAGTTTCAGAGAGTGAAGTTGTGTCTGATCCATGCAAATGATGTCTCATGTCTAACTCGATCAAATGTACTTGTTAACGTATCTTTAAGATTGTCTACCAGGTTATGTTTCTATCCACCTGCTGAGGTCTCTTCTGGCTTGTTGAAAGTACCACATTTCTTTCTGCTTTCTGATTTTAAATCCTCCTTTCATTTTGTCCCTGTGCTGTTTTTAATGTCCTTTGCATGTGAAACTTGCTTTATAGATGAAACTGCCATGTCTGTGTGAAGTGTGTTATTTATATCATTATTATGATTGTTTTAATAAATCTCATGCACCATCCCCTTGAGTCAAAAGGGGGTGTTGACCTCTGACCTACCAATGGGAGGACGACACAGATCGGACCCACCAATCACATCTAAACAAAACAATGAGCCTGCAGCCATTTGTGTTATGGACGTCACCGTCATTTCACTGCACATGTACAGGCTGAGCACTGGTGTGCAACTGGCAAAGTGTAAGCTAGCTGCTTCAAAACAATAGTGTGAGACCAGTTATGTGAATAAAATAAAATACACACTGTAAATACAGGAAGTCTGGGTTAGCATGGTGAGCTAGCTACAGCCAAAATAAACTACTTTATCCAGTGTATCTTAACAATGGAGGATATCCCGACCACAACGTTAGCACTTATCTTCTCCACTAACACAGCAGGAGAGCGAGCTACGTTCAAAACATGATTCTGTCGCTTACCTTTGACGTGAGGGTCATTTTTGATTTCACTCCGTTTCACGCTAAGTTTCACAGCGACAGAAACTTTTCAGTCTTTTAACCTGAAATCCAGTGAATGGAGGAGGATTTAAAAACTAACCGCGGGGAGGTGAGGTTCCTCCACCATCAGGGTTTTTTTCTTTTGAAGGATCATATTTAAACCGTGTGTTTGAATTAGAAAGACTTTAAGACTTAGAGTTCATCAGCAATACATTGAATTTAAAATATCAGATTCTATTAAATGTATAATTTGAGGATTTCTTTCGTGTTTAAGAATAGTCTCTCTTCTGATCCCCTGCTCTCTCAATGGTACAGTCCAGAGCTTCGCGCGAAAACTCCATGTGGGCGTGGCTATCAGCGGCAGAGGGCCAGTGTGTGTGTGTGTGTGTGTGTGTGTGTG